CTGCACGGTAGAGATCTGCAGCTTCAGGTCGTCCATGTCCTGGCGGAGGTCGGTGTTGATCTTCTTCTCCTGCCCTCCCCGTCGAGAGGACGCCAGCTGTTGGCTAGGAATGGAGGCTCGGAAATGAGCGCGAACACCAATGCAGGGGGGTGCCTCCACCGGGGCAAGATGGTCCTAGATTTTAGCGTAGTGAGATTGCGGCCACCCAGGAAGCCCGAGTATTACAACCATCACCGAGATCGGGATCATCGTCCCCGGTGGAGGCACATCTTCGATGTTGGTGTTGGCGCCAACCTCTGATTAGACCTCGGATAGAAAACAACTTCTGGTAGGCCTTCGAAAAAACGGTTCAAAGCACGAAACCCGAATAAGGGGTCATTGAGCCGGCGTAGCCCAAAGCATTGAGCCGCCCTTCGCGCCAGAGCAAGCGGAATGATGCCAAATGCCACCAGCCCTCTGGGCGTAGGTGGTTTAACGAGCTTTGTCTTCTCTCTACCAAACCATTCCTTCCCCTGATCGGGGAAAGGGTATATCACTGCTCCTTATTAATCTACACCCCCGCCCCCACTGTCCCCCACTCGACTGTGGGCCCACCGAGGACATGCAAACCTCCCCCACCGTGCCTGGTCACTTTGCCTCCAAATCAAGAGCATACGCGGGCGCCCTGCGGCCATTTTGCAATGGTTTTTGACAAGGACGGCATGTGGGCCGCCATATTGCTCGCTGCGCGCAAGCCAACCATCCCTGTCAACAAAATTTACAGAATGCAGTTTGCCCTTCCGTGTCGAGCATGCGCGGGCGCCCTGCGACCATTATGCACTGGTTTTTGGAACGGCTGGCGGGGGTGCCGTCATTTTGCCAGCTGCGCGCAAGCCAACCAGCCCTGTCAACAAAGACGACGCAAAATTATGTTTGCCCCCACGTCAGGAGCGTGCGCGGGCGCCCCGCGACCACTTTGCATTGGTTTTGAACAGGGACGGAAGGGGGGGCCGTCATGTTGCTCCATGCACGCAGGCCAACCATCCCTGACAACAACAGCAACAACAACAACAACAATAGAAAATTCACATTGCTTCCATATCTGAAACATGCGCGGGCGCCCTGCGACCATTTCGCCTTGGTTTTTGACAGGGACGGCTGGAGGACGGGCATATTGCTGAAACGTGAAGCACGTGCCGCACCTGACGCGCCTGGCCCAATTGGACCTCTGCAGGTGCCTGGTGCACCTGGAACTCGTTGCCCAACATGGCATGCGTGGCGTTCCAAAACAATATACTGAGACTCCCTCGGGTGTTACTTGTGTGTTGGCAGGGGGCGGGTGGGAGTAACCGAAACAGCCTGCGGGCGACGGGAGGGCCTCGATCACTGTTCCCTATTAATATACACCCCCTTTTCCCCATGCGACCAGCAACCAACCAGGAATAATGAGGACACCATGATCACCCCCGCACCACCCGTGCCAAATAACAATACAAAACGCACTTCGCCTCGCCATGTGGAACATGCGCGGCCAACCCGATGCGACCCCCCCCCCGCCATCCCTGTATTTTTTCTTTGCGACGCCCACAAGCACTTCGTGTGTGTTGTTTGACAAGAGCGGTGGGGCAGCGCAGCGCAACGCCCGATCGGCCCAGGGCCGGTCCTGACACAGAGCACGCGGACAAGCACGCACGGCGACGATACCTTTGGATTGTCACCGTAACAAGATCTTCGGGAAGAATCATAGCAACGGCATCTATTGATCGGCTGCCGTCAGCATACTGCCTACTGTGAGCATGTTGCCTATTGTGCGCAGGGCGACACTGCATAACAAACAAAAACATACACCTCGCTGCCCAATCTGGATCATGCGCGGCCACCCCGCGATCACTGTAAGGTGGTTTTTGGCAGGGACGGCGGGGGTGGTGGCGCATGGCCTGCTGTGCGCAGGCCCACCAGACACAACGATGCGCATTAGTTTTCGACAAGGATGGCGGGGGCCGACATGTTTTCCGATGTGTGCTGTCACGTGCGCAGGCGCACCTGACGCACTCTGCACGTGCCCCGAACGCGGCGCACCTGGCGCGGCTGGAGTGTGCGGCACACCTGGCGCACTCGGAGCACGCGGCGCATCTGGCGCACGAGGCATGCCTGGCACGCTCGGGCCCCAGGGGTGCCTGGCGCGCCTGGCGCCCCTGGCACGCTTGGCGCACCTCTCCCCAACGTCGAGCACATGGGGTTGGTTTGCGTAGTAGTAGCTCACGCACAAACACACACACACACACACACACACACACACACACGCGCGCCCACCGGCCCGGAAGCCGTCCCTACGCGGGAGGCGCGGCGGAGCCTCGGCTCCGGCCCTCAGATGTACGTTAGCACGGCGTCGATCCACCTCTTTCTCGGTCTGTGTGACCGTCTCGTCAACCCAAGGGGTTCCCATACGAATGCACGGTGAGCCCAGCTGTCTACCGCCTCTCGCATCTTTCTGTACCATTGTGTTGCTGCAGACTCGTGGCTTTCAATCCAGTCACGAACGCCGAATCGCCTGCATCTTTCCTCGACCTCGTGAGTGGCCCTCTGACACTACTCTGCCTATCCAAAGGCGACCGCTGAACATGCTCAGGCTCGGGTGTTACTTATGCGTTGGGAAGGCGGGAGGGAATGAGCTAAACGGTTTGATATCTGGGAGGGTGTCTTGATCACTGCTTCTTGTCGCAATATACCTCCAACCAGGCGACCGGGGGCCAACCAGGCACCAAGCCGACACCATGACCGCCCGCCCCCCACCACCCCTGTCAGAAAAAATGCAAACCGCACTTTGCCTCCATATGTGGAATATGCGCGGCCAACCCGATGCGGCCCCCCACACCATCCCTTTCAAAAAACAATGCAAAATACACAGTGGGGCATAGTCTTGAATCATGTTCGTGCGGCGCGCGAGCACTTCGTATTGTTTGTGACAAGAACGGCGGGGGCGTCAGCATATTCCCTGCAGCGCGCAGGGCTACCATCCCTGACAAACAAAAACACTACAACATGCACCTCGCGGCTAAATCTGCATCATGAGCGGCCATCCCTCGATCACTGCCAAATGGTTTTTGACAGGGACGGCGGGGGTGGTAGCGTATGGCCTGCTGTGCGGGGGCCCAGCAAATACAATGATGGGCATCGGTGTTCGACAAGGATGGCGGGGGCCGGCATGTTTCCCGATGTGTGCTGTCACGTGCGCTGCACGTGCCCCGAACGCGGCGCACCTGGCGCGGCTGGAGTGTGCGGTACACCTGGCGCACTCGGAGCACGCGGCGCATCTGGCGCACAAGGCATGCCTGGCACGCTCGGGCCCCAGGGGTGCCTGGCGCGCCTGGCGCCCCTGGCACGCTTGGCGCACCTCTCCCCAACGTCGAGCACATGGGGTCGGTTTGCGTATCAGTAGCTGCCCATCCAAAGGCGACCGCTGAAAATGCTCAGGATCGGGTGTTGCTTATGCGTTGGAAAGGCGGGAGGGAATGAGCTAGACGGTTTGATATCTGGGAGGGTGTCTTGATCACTGCTTCTTATCGTAATATACCCCCAACCAGGCGACCGGGGGCCAACCAGGCACCAAGCCGACACCATGACCGCCCGCCCCCCACCACCCCTGGCAAAAAAAATATAAGCCGCACTTTGCCTCCACATTTGGAATATGCGCGGCCAACCCGATGTGGCCCCCCACACCATCCCTTACAAAAAACAATGCGAAATACACAGCGGGGCAAAATCTTGAATCATGTTCGGCGCCGTCACGTGCGCAGGCGCACCTGACACACTCTGCACGTGCCCCGAACGCGGCGCACCTGGCGCGTCTGGAGTATGCGGCACACCTGACGCACTCGGAGCACGCGGCACATCTGGCGCACCAGGCGTGCCCGGCACGCTCGAGCCCCAGGGGTGCCTGGCGCGCCTGGCGCCCCTGGCACGCGTGGCGCGCCTCGCCCAAGCGTCGCACACCTGGGGTCAGCTCTGGTTACCAGTAGCTGCCCATCCAAAGACGACCGCTGAACATGTTCAGGCTCGGATGTCACTTATGTGTAGGGAGGGCAGGTGGGAGTGAGCTAGACGGCTTGCGGGCGGGTGGGTGTCTTGACCCCTCCCCCCACCCCCTCCCGCGGGCCTGGGAGTGTGGGTGGACGGAAGGGCGAAGCGTCGATGGCCCGAGATGGTTCTGAGAGGGTCTCAGAGAGCCCACAATGGCCTGCGAGCTAGCTCAAAATACCTCAAGATGGCTCTCAAGGTAATCCCCGACAAACATCCAAGAGGCCCCAAAAAGTCCCCAAGACGGTTTCAAGCGCCCTCCCTCCGAGCCCTCCCCGGACCCCCCAGAAGCCAAAATGGCCCAAATGACTGGAAATTCAATGCGGTTTGCCTTCTCGCCTTTTCGCCTCCAATGGGCTCTCGAGAGCTTGCGAAGGCCCCGCGACGGCCCGAGAGAGCCCCGAAAAGGGCCCACAAGGGCCCTCAGAGGGCCCCCGAAGCCCCTAAAAGCCGCAGAAAAGCGCCCCAAGACGGCCCCAATGCGCCATCATTGAAGTCCGACGGGGTGGCCTGAATTGACGACCCCTTCTCTTTTTGAACAGCGCGCCCAACATTGCCTCGAAAAGCCTCCCAGACCCCCAGAGAGCCACAAGAGGGCCCCTAGACCACCCAAAAGAGCCCCCAGAGGGTCCCAAGAGTGCCCCTAGCGGTTCCGAGAGGACCCCAAGAGAGAACCAATATGGCCCCAAGAGACCTCCGAGCAAAAACTGCCAAAGCGGCTCTTACACTGCGTGCTTCTGCACTTCTCTGATCCAAGCAACTCGCCTGGCAATCCGTTTCTGGATAAGCTGGCGAGGGTACTTTTTGGCGCGCGGGCGCGCGAAGACACGTCGAAGGCTGAGCAAGCTAGGGCGGGCCGCGCTGTGGCAGGGGAAGGAAGAGCAGCGAAGCGAACATCGCCCGTCTCAGAGCGGAACTGGGCACGACGCAGCCAACGCGGCGCGAGAGGCGTCAGAAGCCGGCGCCGAGAATGCTCCGGCGTAGGGCGGGAGAGCGACCGCCCACGCGATGGT